ATCTACTCACTGACTACACATCTAGAGATTCTCCCTCATCCCACAAATCTGATCAACCATAAAGGCTATTTTGTGAGCATATCTTATATTCATCCTTCTCAAACCCCACTTCTTCGCCTTGATTTAAACTTCTCATTATCAACCTAAACTAGTAAAATGAAGGTTCTACTAGTTTAGAACCTAAACAACCTAGAGATTTCTCTACTTATAATCTTGCCCTCCATTCATCCACTGAGTCAAATTTTCAACGGTTCCCTAGCACCTATCTCTACTAGCATTTCTCAAAACTGAATAGTGTAAGGCCACCCTTTAAAGGAAACAAAACAAAACAAAAACAAAAACAAAAACAAAAAAAAACCCTCATAGACCTACCCAGTTACTGACAAATCTAAGCATGTATAAATCAAATTAGGAACAAATTCCTTATTTTTACTGCTCCTAAATTATAAACCCAACAAATTCAAAAGTTATATACAGACCCATACTAACACTAATTTAATGTGACAAATAATGTTTTGCTGAAATTAAACCACTGCTGGTAACATTAAGATAACTGTAGACTTATGGGGCAGGCTCTCCTGATTTTGGCACCCTTATAGTACCATAAGCAGTGACAGAAATAATTTCTTCCATCAGTTTTTTCCGTGACAACTATCAAAAAGCTTTCCCATATTTGTGGGCTATCTATGGTTTGTACCTATAACACTTTATCCCATTTACCTCATTACATGTCTATTCCTCCATTCCAACTGTAAGCCCCATAAGGACAAGAAATATATTCTATTCATCCCTTCATATTACTAATGCCTAACAGTGCCTGGCATATAGGAGCTACATAATAAATGTTTCTAAACAAAAACATAAAAAGTTCTAAGTAGAAGAAGAGACTTCATTGCCCATTAACTGAAAAATCCAGGGGAAATCTGACCCAGAGGAAATCTGACCCAGAGGTTCACAAGGCCATCAGGGCTGCAGTTCCACTTCTTTGCCATTCTACTGGATCTGTCCTGTTCCATGGTAGGTGAATCTTTAGGCCACTTCCAATCTTGGCAATAAAAACGCTGCAGTCATTCTACACCTCACAATTTTATATGACACTATCTAATAAAGATCTCTTTCAGTAGCTTTTAAGAATGAAAGGAAACTCCTTGTCCAGGAGCACTCACTGGCATTATGTAAGTTGGGCAGAAATGAAGGTGGGATGGTGGGGGTGGGGAGGGTTTAAACTAGATTAAACTAATCAAGGTATGGTACCCTGAAGAAGGAGTAAGATTAATTCACCTCAATCCAAAGGTCTAGAAATGAAGAGGAAATGGATGTTAGGAAGAGAATTAACAAATGTCCACTACTTGAACTACGGACAAACTAAAAAAAAAAAAAAAGAATGCTAATTCCCTTTGTCAAAGCTTCTATGTTCTTTTTTATTATGTTCTGTTTAAAAAAAAAAAAAAGAACTTTTTTTTAACTTTCATCTATGAAAACAGATCTCAAAATCAGAACTAATTTACCAAAGGTCCAAATTAATAATCCACAGGACATAGCATAAAAAAAGAGTTAAAGTAGTACTGTGAAATTCAAGTTAACAGCAACTTGGATTTAAAAATGTACTCATAAAAAAAATAAAATAAAATAAAAATAAAAATGTACTCATAAGACATCAGGCAGGCATAAAGCTGCCTAAAGACTTATGATTTTGGATGTCAGGTAAAATCAAAAGACCTAAAGTGAAGTCTACACTTGGGAATAGGGAGATCTAGAACATTCCCTAGAGAACAATATATGTGATATGCCTATGTATATGGCATCCCTTTTCTTTCCTTTCAAAAAAAATTTAATCTCCAACAAGTAACTAATTAGTACTTCCTAGATATAAAAATGCTTTGCACTATGGTGAACAGAAAGATAAACAAGATTCAAGATTTACCCATAAGGAGCTATTTGGACAAAAAACAAAAAACAAAAACCCTAAAATCACTGTAACAAAAGGTAAAATATAAGAGTTATGAGGAAATAACTTTTAAAATAAGTTTAAATGAAAATTGAGAAAACAGAGGGAAACATAATAGCTTGAAAACCCTGGGAAGGAGCTGTAACAGTTTTGCTGTAGCAACTACCAGTACATGGCACACAGCAGGTACTCAAAAACTATTTCATGAACAAATGAATGAAGGGATGAGAAAATTAGAAAATTATCTGGGGGCACCTGGGTGGCATAGCAGGTTGGATATCTAATTCTTCGTTTCAGCTCAGGTCGTGTTTCTCAGGATCATGCCTCAGGGCTGTGGGATCAAGCCCTGCATCAGGCTCCATACTCAGTGCAAAGTATGCTTGAGATTCATTCTCTCTCTCTCTTTCTCTCTCTCTCTCTCTCTCTCCCTCCACCGCCCCTCCCCCTTGCAGGCAAATGCTCCCTCTATCTCAAATAAATCAATCTTTTTTTTTTTTTAAGATTTTACTTATTTATTTGACAGAGAGAGAGACAGCGAGAGAGAGAACACAAGCAAGGGGAGTGGGAGAGGGAAAAGCAGACTTCCCACCAAGCAGAAAGCCCGATGCTGGGCTGAATCCCAGGCCCCCAGGATCATGACCCAAGCCGATGCCCAATGACTGAGCAACCCAGGTACCCCATCAAATAAATAAATCTTCAAAAGAGAAAAGAAAATTATCTGTAAAGCTGATTCATTCATGCAACAAATGGATAAGCAACATTTAAAGTGGGATTAAATGAAAGGTAGGAGTTTTTGTTTTTTTTTTAGATTTTATTTATTTGACAGACAGAGATCACAAGTAGGCAGAAAGACAGGCGGCGCGGGGGGGTGGGAAGCAGGCTCCCTGCTGAGCAGAGATCCAGATGTGGGGCTCGATTCCAGGACCCTGGGATCATGACCTGAGCCGAAGGCAGAGGCTTTAACCCACTGAGCCAACCAGGTGCCCCTAGGATTTTTTTTTTTTTTTAAGATTTAATTTATTTGTCAGAGAGAGAAAGAACAAGCAAGGGGAGTAGCAGGCAGAGGGAGAAGCAGCCTCCAGCTGAGCAGGGAGCCTGACATGGAACTCGATCTCAGGACGCTGGGACCATGACTCAAGCCAAAGGCAGATGCTTAACCCACTGAGCCACCAGGTGTCCAGAAAGGCAGGATTTTTTTTTTTTTTTTTTTTTTTTTAAGATAGGAGAAGGTGAGTCTGGGCCAGCAAAAGGAACCTCAGAAACATGAAAGAGGAAAGCAGTAGCACATATTTGGAGAATATGCAGCAGGCAATACATCTTGGCTGAAGTATAAAGGAATATGAAGAGAATATGAGGGTGATGACACTAGAAAGGAAGGTTAGGACAATCAAGGAGGGTCTTAAATGCCATGCTAAGGGGTCCTTTACGTACAGAGCAGCCACTGAGTGTTTCTGAGCCACTTGAGTATATTAAGCTAGTGGTTACATGTAGAATGGTTTATATTTTGTGCCATTATTGCATACTAAAGGCCAGGCATTTGAAACCTGGAACTAAAATAATACGCTGAGAAAACAGAAAGAAGAAGAGGTATGTTGGAAATTACAGAGCAGGAAGGAACAGGCGACAATGAATACAGAGAGCATACGGGGAGAAGATAGCCAAATGTGACTAAGGTAAGCACCAGTGATAAATGCCATCAACAGGATAAATGCCATCAACAGAACAAATGAAAGGAGGGGAAAGGGCAAGTTTTTAGATAAGTAAGTTCAATTTCAAGAAGTTCTATTTCAAGTGTGGGAAAGATATTCTGGTAGGTGTGTTCCACCAACAGCTAGAAACACAGGTCTCTGCTCAGGAAAGAGAGCAGAGTCCGTGCAGCCAATTTCGGAGTTAGTGGTACTGGGGTTAAGGCCAGCAGCAGGGGGAGTTAACAAGATGCCAGTGCTAAGGGATGAGTATGGAGAAGAGGCCTGAAAATAAAACTTAGGATACACTTATAAATAAACAAACGGAGAAGGAATAGAGCCAGGAGAAACAGGAAAGTAAAGTGATACAAACTTCAAAATGAGAGAACTGCAACATGGAAAAGAATGATGAATAGTAACAAAAAATGAAGCAAGGCAGAGGAATGGAAACAATGGTAAGAACAAGTTGAGTATGTTTTAAAGGCACTTTGCAGTATGATACAATGGAGAGGAGTTTCAAAAAGATGCACAGGGATTCACATCCCAGTTCTTCCACCTTCAGCTTTACTAACATGTGCAAGTTACTGAACCAAGAAAAAACCGTAATTTCCTCATCTGTAAAATTAAAACAGCATCTTGTAATAGAATCAATGGATGCAATGTCCCTAGACTAATGAAAAGACAATATTTTACTTAATACTGAGTTAACTTCATAATGATAAAGGCAGTCTCTCATTCATTTTCTTATTTCCCACCATGCTTTACACTTAAGACACTAATAAATTCCTATTAAATTATAACAGTGATAGCAAAACCCAGTGTTTTATACATGCCTGAAAATAAGCTCTACTTATATAAAAGAAAAAAGGGAAAAATTCCATTTTTTTTAAGATTTTATTTATTTATTTGACAGAGATCACAAGTAGGCAGAGAAGCAGGCAGAGAGAGATAGGAGGAAGCAGACTCTCTGCTGAGCAGAGAGCCCGATGCGGGGCTTGATCCCAGGACCCTGGGATCATGACCTGAGCTGAAGGCAGAGGCTTTAACCCACTGAGCCACCCAGGCGCCCCAAAAATTCCATTTTTGAAGTATGTCCTAATGTCTTTTATTTCTTCTGTATCACCAAAGCACAGTGATAAGAAGATAATCAATACATTGGACTAAAAGATGTTTTTACTGATCTTTGCTCTCATTTTCTTCATAGAAGTAAAAATACAATGATCAAAACACTTAGTGAAAAAAATGTTTTATATTTTAACAATAAATGTCATTGTTTATGGTACTTTCATAAATGTATAAGACATGTTACAGACTAACCAAAAGCTGTTTAAAGAACTCTCACTGTAAAATGCTCTTAGAATACTGCGATAATCTAGAAAATTTTCCTAGAAGTTCTAGTGAAAACATTTCTGCTTATATTATTCTTGAAGTTAATATCTAAACCATTAATCAGAAGAAAATGAATTTAATGAGACCTTAGGAATCTAAGGTAGCTCTTCTGGAATAAAGTTATAGATACTACACTTGATCTTAGCCAAAAGGCCGAGAAGCGATGGAATAAAGTCATAGAAAGATCAGAGTCAAAGGAAAAAAAGAGAAAAAGAAAAGAAACAAAGGCCAAAGGCCACTCACCTAACACAGTAATTATCTAAAATTGCATTATACAGGAAAATAAGTCTTGACTAAAATGATTTCCAACTCCTTACATACTTCTCATACTAATGTGACTGGGGTTGGTAAGTTTTTTTGAATAAATTATGAAAATTTATTTCAATATACAAAACACCAACTTATTCTACTACACTTCTGAGAAAAAGAACACAATTGGTTGTGTCATGAGTAAATTTGTTCAACCAACATCAACAGAAATAAAAAACTACATTATAAAATATTAAACCAAAATAGCTCCCGTTTAAGCATGCAAACATTATCCAGCCCTCATTCTTAACTGTCAAACGATCCTGAAAATGAGATCTTCTCCCTACCAGAAGAGCCAACCAACTTGGTCCTCAGTCCTCAAACAGCTGGTCAAACAAAGAATCCTGTCATGATAAGTAAAAGGCATCTCTCTCACCAAACTAATACATAAAAACACTGGGCACTGATCAACTCTACTATAAGAACGTTTGCTTTTTAAGGCAAAAATCTCCGACAACTAACTCTTATCAAGCCCAAATACACAAGACAAAACAAAGCACCTGGCATGGAAAGACTACTTGCACTTTTTCTTTTTTTTTTTTTTACTATTTATACCCTTATTGATTCCACTTCATTAAAAAGGAAAGAAAAAATCCATTCAAAACCCTAATTCTGACCACCTCAACTCAAATGATCTTCATTCCCTTCCTCTTCTACCACCCATTCCCAGGACTTCATCATCCTCTAGGGCAGCCTAATTTGGCAATCTGAAATCCATATCCCCTTACTGTCCCAATCCCTGTCCTTCTAGCTCTCCCACTCCTCAGCTCAACTGGTGCTGCTAGTGCCTTAACCTTCCATTTTCTTCCAATCAACCAAAATTTTGTTGGATTTCCTTCTTTAGGAATACAACATAGATCTCACCATCTATCATCATTTCAACCACTTTTCCTGCTAAGACTCTTAAGTGTCCCAAGTCAATTTCTCCTCTACTTCTCTAAAGTGACCCACTGCTCCCCTCAAACTTTCTACCCATCACTCCTTTCACTAATTACTCCTAGCAGTAAGCTTGTTTCCTACCTTACCAAGAATAGAGGTAGTAGGCCAAACTGTCCACAACTTCCTATCTCTCTACAATGTCCCTCATTCAAATTTATCACATTCAAATTCATTTTTTCTTTTTCCCTTCCTCGGTCTGAGGAAAATATGCTCCTTCTCAGATTGAAAGCAAGTTCATTCACTTATGCCCTTGAAACTCCAGCTTTCTCAGGGACCTTGCTTTACAAGTATTCCCTTTCTCTCCCATATCCTTAGCTTTAGTTGGCCAGCTACCTCTTTCTCTTTATTGCTCTTTTTTCCCAAAGTTCCTTCTTTGGACCTGATATTCTCATTCTATACACTCTTCCAGAATCACTTTATCTACTCCTATGGTTTCTATTATCATGTATAAACTGATACTTCTAAATCTGAAATTCTAGACCTTCCCCTTAAGAACCAAATGATCATTTTTGAACTCCTACTGGTCAGTTCCACTTGGATGTCACACATGAATCTTAAACTTATTATATTCAGGACTACTCACTTTACCCAAAAACATCAACTCCTCTGATGTTCCTTCTCTTAGAGATCTATCTTGTTTCCCAAGCCAAAACCTGGGAGGCATCACAGATATCTCTCTCCGCGTTATATAGGAGGTCACCATGCCCTGGTAATTTTACCTGCTAAGTCTCTCTTTAATCCATGCTCTCTCTTTCACACATGCTCACCACAATGCAAGTTACCTTCTGTCTTCCTCTACTGCTACCTTCATGCAGGCAATCATTTTTTAAATTTGCCCTCTTTGCCTCAATCTCAGTCCCCTCTAATTCTTTCCACCAATACTGTCAGGAAAATGTTACTAAGGGGCACCTGGGTGGCTCAGTCAGTTAAGCATCTGCCTTCAGCTCAGGTCACGTCCCCGGGTCCTGCAATCGAGCCCCGCCATCAGGGTCCCTGCTCAGTGGGGAGCCTGCTTATCCCACTCCCCATGCTTGTGCTCTCTCTCAAATAAATAAATTAAATCTTTGAAAAAAGGTTACTAAATATGAATTTATCATTATTATTCTTGCTCTTAAAAAGCTTTAATGGCTCCCAATTACCTTCAGCATGAAATTTATTTGACATGAAATATAAACATATGCTATTTCCTCTGCCTGGAATGACCCCCTCCTCTTCTTCTATTGGCTAACTTCTACTCATCCTATTAAAGCTCAACTCAAGAATTACAAATTCTCTCTGACTGTACTTCCAATCTTAGATCCCCCTCATTTGTCTCCAGAGTAATGCCTGCAAACAGAAAACGACCAAAATGTTTTATTCATTAAATACATAAACAGAAAGCTTCAGAGATTACTACCTCTGAAGGCACTGAATTTCAATTATACAGAAATGATTTTACAAAGCTTTAAAGTAATTTTTAAAGCAAAGAAACAATTTTTCATACAAATATTCCAGAACAAATTAGCTAGCACACTTGTGCTAAAAAAGTTACACAGCTGAAGCATTAAAATCTATATTTAAGGACTAAGAAAAATAAGCAGGAATACAAGGAGAAGGAATATACTGCTGTTAATTGAATTACTACTTTATTATAAAATGACAATGAAATTACAGCCACTACTGAAACAATTTAATAGGCAAAGGATAGATTTATAAATGAAAACAACTAAGATGGAGAAAACCATGTGGAAAATCCAAAGATAAGAAGTAAATATCAATAAATAAGGGACGCCTGGGTGGCTCAGTCGGTAAAGCCTCTGCCTTCATGATCCCTCAGGTCATGATCCTCGGGTCCTGGGATTGAGTCCTGCACTGGGTTCCTTGCTCGATGGGATGCCTGCTTCTCCCTCTGCCTGCCGCTCTCCCTGCTTGTGTGCTCTCTCTCTCTGACAAATAAATAAATAAAATCTTTAAAAATAAATAAATAAATAAGGCGCTATCCTTTACCAATACTCTTTTCTTCTGTAAGCACCATGATCAAAAAAATAGAAATTACTAGAAACTTAAAGACTAAATATAGAAGCTATCACTTCATTCTACCTTGTTTAAAAGGTAGTGGGGAAGAAGGCATCCCTTCCAAAGCACATGTGCAATTACCTCTGTACTGCACTGAGTTGTTTAGTACACTTATAAGTAGTTCAGAGTAAGTATTTTTCAAGTAATATCTGCGAAGATATTGGGACAGCGTTAACTAGTAAAGCTTCTTATAGTGAGAAAGGCTTTGCCTTAAGGTCTACCAAGCACCATCCTCTCCCCATCCCCAAAATAAATAAAACAAAAATGTACCAGTTCCTGAGAGAACAAAAGCCAAAACAGCACTGCTATTAATTTCCAGGAAAAATTTAATTCAACCAAAATATTTCTTGAAAATCAAGGGTCCCTCCTAAAGAATCATCATTTTCAGACTAATTACTTCATTCTTGTTTTAAACTTGACACAGTAATGGTCATTTTCCAATTCCTAAAGTGGGACCTTAAGTATATTAGAAGTGCCACTGGTTAAGGAGTCAAAGTTCTAACATTCAACGGATTCTTATGGAGTAGGTATTATATAGGAAATTATGTATCACACCAAGATTGATTGATTGATTGATTATTTATTTATTTATTTATTATCACACCAAGAATTATTTTTGCCATTACCTCAAAGAGTAGGTGCAATCACTAAGTATCTCTTTGGCCTACGTTCAAGTAAAAAAACTAATGAGTTTTAATGAAAGTTCCTAGATTAGATGGACTGAGTTCTAGAACTCTGTAAGTTATCTGTTTGGAATTCTGAATGCATTTTCCTAAAGAAATAATGTAATAAATGGCAATTAAATTTTCAAGCAAGCCCACAAAGGCCTTTATGTGTGAGAGAAATCTCAGTCTCTATATAAATTTTAAGAGCTGGGAACAGTCAGTTCTATAAATTGTTAAAATTACAAAATGGATTTGACATTTCAATAATGAGCATTTCTCTTAACAATTAGAACAGCCTGATTCTTTAAAATTCTTTAAAACTGCTTAATTCTTTAAAATTACTTAGTATAAAAATTTTTTTAAATAAAATAAAATTACTTAGTATAACTTTCAACAGAAGAGGATACAGAGAAAATAATGAAAATTTGTATCACAAGCTACTGAGTATCTGAAATAAAACATATTATGATAATCATCTTTCCAAAAGTGGCACATCAGGTTTCCACTATTGGGTAATATTTGCTTACTTTATTAAAGAAATACTAGATGGAGTTTGTTGAAGACTGATGAGACCAAAAGCACTTACAGAAAAGTTAAGGTTCCTTGGAAGCCTAAAATCCAAACTTTACTGGATAAGTTTTAATTATAAAATTGTTATAATAATAAAAGCAAAACATTTATATTAACATGAAAACATTCCAAAATTCCTTAGTGAACTTTTGGTGAATCCTAAATAGTAAATGAAATTGCTGGTATACCAAACTACATTAAATAAGAATAAAAATAATTGCCCTTGGGGCACCTGGGTGGCTCAGTTGGTTAAGGGACTGCCTTCAGCTCAGGTCATGACCCTGGAGTCCTAGGATCCAGTCCCACATCAGGCAGGGAGTCTGCTTCTCCAGCTGACCTCTCTCATGCGCTCTCTCATTCTCTCTCTCTCTCTCAAATAAATAAATAAAGTCTTAAAAAAAAATTGCTCTTACAAAAATATCATTGAAATACCTTATGTCAGGTAAGAGAAAGGAAAATGAGAGGTGATTTTAAAAAGCTTAAGAGAAATAAATGACATCTTAAGAGAAAAGGTCAATAGTGATTAAATTAAAATTTTCAACTTAGAAATATTTGGACAATTTATATATATATATTATTAATTGAAGCCTGTTTTTAATAATAAGCCTTTTGCTCTGAAAACCTTCC